TTATAACAAAGGACCAAACCGGGGTTTAACATTCATAGCCCATGTTCGATGCCCGCTAATTTTTTTTTTTTTTTAAATGAGTTTTTATAATTGCGATTTTTTGAAAAATGTGTGGTTAAAATATAAGAAAATATTATGAGTTAATCTGTAGAATAATTTTATTGCGAGAATGTGTAATTAAAAATAAATTTTAAAAAAAGTTTTTGATAATTATAGACAAACAGGAACATAGAGTTCTTGTTCAGTCTATTGGTCTTCCATCAAAGTCAATGCAGATGAAGTTTAGTAGGGACAAAGGAATCCCACTTTCGGTAAACAGCTACGGCTTGTTGCATACTTTTGTTTATAAAGGAGCTTCTTCTTTGAAAAACTTAGATTTAAAAATTTAAGATGTCAATTAATGAAGAAATTTAAGATGACAATTAATAACACATTTGTTACGCAACAAATTAATAACACATTTGTCACGCAACAAGTGACTTTGTTGGTATGTACGTATACTACACGCCTAATCACAAAGATTTCTAAAAATGTTGATTGGTTTTCACACCTAGTCAATCCATTTAATTTCCTAAAAGTTGAGTATATAGACAAAAACAGCAATATCATTTTGGAAAATTTACATCCTAAATATTTTTTATGTCGTTTAGACCAGCGTTCTAAAAAGATGACGGAACGTGAATGTAAAGTTTCAACTTTTATGAGTCTAGATGAGACTTGGGCGTAAAATTGAGTTACTTATTTTTATTATTATTTTAAATACTTAATCATTCTTAAAATTATTTAATAATTAATATAATACATTCCAAATATATAAAATTATAAAATACTGTATTTACTAAATAATTTCTACTATTGGTCAATTGTACTATTTTCAAGTTTTTGAAATGTAAAAGCTAAACTATTTTTCATAATTTCAACTTTCAACTAGATAAATTTTATTTTAAAAAATTATAGAAACTTTGTAACATACTTTCGAAATTTTCAACAATACCAAAAATTTCGAAATCACAGTTTCATAATATAGATTGTACCGTCACTTAAATCTTATCTAAATCTTTAACAAATAAAATTATTTTTGACTTTTGTGCATATAAAATCGTTTAAAAAAGTGAAACTAAAGTCAGATAATAGCCTTTTAAAAAAGAAATAAAAATGTTAATAAACTAAAGTCAAATTTAAAAAAGAAAAAAAATAAATAAATAAGCACATATAGGCATGTTTAGACGCACATTAAGCGATCAACTTAGTAGTTGACCTCTTAATTCTCGCTTATTGTCAAGGTAAATCGTTTTACCTACGTCTCACGCATATGCGTGTGTTTTAGAACACTGGTTTAAATACTTTCATTGAGCTTTCTATTCTTTTCGGGGTGGAACCAGGAGGGGAAAAAATTATACCGAATTGATACATTTAAAAAGCAAAAAAATCACTAAAAAAAAAAAGATTTTCCATAAATTTTTATTTTATTTTTTTACATTTCAAATCTAATTGGGTGTGGGGGCAAGGAATTTTGCTACTTGTACAAAAAAAAATATAAATAATGGATTACATAGTATGATGTGTACGGAAAATATTGGAAGAAAAAGTTGATTATGTTTTAAACTGGCAAATGGTATAGTGACATATGACATTATGTAATCTATTATGTAAATTTTGATGCACATGTAGCAAGATCCAAATAACGATGTAATATTATGTAGGAATTTTAATTTCTCATATGCGAATTATGTTATAGACCACATAACTATGTAATATTATATGAACCAAGAAGGAGAATGTAAAATCAATTAATTTGGTCCAAATAATATAATTAATAAATAAGTCAAGTTCAAACTAAAGTTGGTGTAAATGATTCGGAGGAACTTGTATATTCTTGTAATGTATTGGAATGTTAAGAGTATTTTTTATTTTTTCCTTGTGTTTGTTTTTGGATAAGCTGTAACAAATTTTTTGAATCGAATAAATAAAAAAAAAAAATTTATGTTATCAACTCTAGATTATTGAGAAATGAGAATAATACCAATTAATTTGTTATTATTGATTAAAGGATTAACTTTGAAATATCGACAGTATTTTGTTCTATTGATTAAATCACTTTGTCTAAAAATTTAACTTAAAGAGAATACATTCCCCTTGTGTATACTATATATATTTATTTATTTATTAAAAGTCCAACTCGTACGAAAATTCAGTAGATAGGTGACGACAAACTCAAACCCTTTATATAAATCCATCTAAACCAAGTTCAAAACTTTCAAAATAATTCATTAGAATACTTTCCAACGTCGTCCATAGCCAAAGTCACAACATATCAGTTGAAAAATTCACGATACCAACGTCAACAAAAAAGTGTGGTGGTAAGATTATTAGTGAATTACATCAAAATTTAAGTGATTATAAGTTATAAATCCTATAGATTGTAAGATAATAAGAGCGTAATAACTCAATCTTATGAAATATATGGATAGACAAAGTTGCCATATCTGTAAAAACTATCATATGAAAATTCAAAAACATAATCTTCTTTTAAATTGTTCAAACTTCAGAAGTTTTAGATTATAAGATGAAATCACGGGAGTCAAAACAATAAAAATAAATATTATATAAATAAGTATTATTTATTAATTTCACTTCAACTATAAAAGATTCATGTGAAGATACTCGATCGAGCATAGTCCACGCGTAAGGAAAGCATTGCTTAAGCTTAGCTTCAAGGCCCCCACTATGCTCCCGGGGCATAGCTCAGTGGTGCAAGGATATGAGTGAAGTAGTCTCAATTGAGCTGGCAGTCGCAGTGTAAGAATTCGATTCCTGTCTCTTACAAGGCATGGAATTGGACTCTTTATGGACATCAATATGTCAGCTCTTGTACCCTGACTTGCTGAGACACGTTCATCGATTTACCTCCTCCACAAAGCGGGGTGGGGCGGGGCGGTGTTCAACCTTTTTCAAGGCCCCCACCATGCATAAATGACATTTAAGAATACAACTAACGTTGTATACTTGTATTGTATGGTGTATGCATGTCAGAGTACCCTACCCACATCGGCTCACCCCCAAGTTATTGGACCATTCTATTAATTAATTGCACTTGGGGGGAAAAAAAAAAAAAAAAATCTAGACAAGTTAAGTTCAAACTAAAGTTGGTGTAAATGATTGAGTACATTCTTGTAATGTATTGGAATGTTAAGAGTAATTTTTTTTTTTTTTCCTTATGTTTGTTTTTGGATAAAGCTGTAACAAATTTTCTGAATCGAATAGATCAAAAAAAGTAAAAAAATAAAAAATAAAAAAAAATTATGTTTTAAACTTTAGATTATTGAGAATAATACCAATTAATTTGTTATTATTGATTAAAGGATTAACTTTGAATTATCGACAGTATTTCATTCTATTGATTAAGCCCCTGTCTGGGCCAAATTTTTAAAGCCAAAAAATCAATTTTTTACCCTTTACTTGTCACTTTTCAGCCGTCTTTTTTGACTCCACTCTCACATACATGGACCCACCTTCCAAAGTAATGACACTTTTTTTACTTTTAATCCATTGTAGAATCAGTCCCAGACAGAGTCTTAGTTGTTTAGGTGTTGAATTAAGTTAATATGCATCTAGGTTTTTGTGATGTCAATGTCAATATTGCTAAGCACGAGTTCTTGAGCTTTTTGCCTTCTGATTTCATCGTTTGAGTAAATTAGCGTTTTCTCGATATCGTTACTCGAAGAAATTTTTTAACCAATTATCAATCAAGTCATGATCCTAATTACAAAAGTAATAATATACAAACGGAAATTAGACACATGCAAAACACACGTACAAAGTTTATTCCAGTTCAAAATAACTTTAACGTGCCGAAAACTTAAAGGTACATATGATAAACAAGATTATGTTAATAAAATTATTGCTAATTACATAATTTTTTTTGTTTTTTGACCTTCCTTTTTAGATCGAAATATTTTTTCTACACTGATTATATAGAATTTGGACTCAAAAACATAGGTTGAGTTAACCAAATCCCAAAAGTTTCAAAAGGGACTATACGACGTCGTTTAATAGTATGAAATTCGAATTCAAATCCTTGCTCAGCGCCAGATCTGTACAAGCAGCGAAAGAGTTAGGGGCACAAATTTTCTCCGGGCACAAAAGTCAAGCTCCACGTTGACTATTTCTCTCAAAATGGCGTCGCCGTTCATCATCGACGATAAAGACCTTGACGACGCTGCATTGTGGGCAGTTATCGACTCCGCCGCCGCCTAGAATGACTAGAGGTATCCAATCGACTGAAAGTTGCTCCGATTTATTTGATGATTCTTCTCATCACTATATAATCTGAATTTGTCTAAAAATATATAATTCTCACGATCTCCAACCAAAGTTTTGAACTTTGCATTTGTAGCATTTAGTGTCCAAATCTCGAGTTTAAACTAATGAAATCCCTTGTTCTCATTAATAGTCATCCTTATAGTATTCTCAAGACTTCAAATTATGGTTGTTAAAACTTTCTCATAGTTTTCACTTTATTCCTTAATCACAGTTTTCATTTAGGAGAGAAGCAAAATCAAATAGTAAACCAGTTGAGTGTGAAAAGGCATGGACATAAATGAACAGTGAATCTCCAAAGCACTTCTTTTAAGAGAGAAGAGAGATAGGCTTTTTTGTGTAACAAATAGTGTTTTCTTAGATTGTTTATATTCATCTTTAATCTTGTTATTGCTGAATGTTGAATATTATGGTCTTGACTGGCCGCCCTCCAGCCGCTTAAAATATTTTATTTATTATTTGCTTATTTAGTCGATGGTGACATTGAAATTATCTTATATTGGCCTATTGCTAGTTTATCTATACGTTTTCTATATAGACTTGCACGATTTTCCCATTCAAGAAAAGGGAAATTTCTATCTGTTTTTGCTTCATTGATTAGTAATAGTCTTCATTGTGTGTTTATACTCTGTCTATATCATATAGATTAGCTTAATCTTTGAGAAATTAGAAAGCTTAACATGTTTTTGCATATCTTCTGCTTGCTGTCCCTGGCGGTGGCACCGCAGTCAATCGCCCAAGGTACGAAAAATTCCTCTGCTAAGCCTGGCTGTGAAAGCAGATGTGGAAATATAGAAGTTTCATACCCATTTGGAATCGGTAACGGATCAAATTGTTCCCTAAACTCGTGGTTTTATATACAGTGCGCTTCTGTCAACCCTCCAAAAGCCTACCTTGGTACGACTGGCATTGAGGTTGTCAGAATATCAGAATCTGCAATCTATCTTAAGTACGATGACCGGATGGCGATTGCCTGCTATGATATGCAATTCTATAACAAGACTACGGATTTACCTTTAGAATTGAACTTCTCGTCTTTTCCTTATACCTTGTCTGATGCTAATCAGATCATATCCTTTGGCTGTGATGACTTGGTTAGTGTACAAGGATTATCAAATTCAAACCGGAGTAACTTCATTGATGGTTGTGTGTCGTCCTGTTCTCGGCCTGATGGGATCGGACAATGTCCAGGCAATGGCTGTTGCCAGACCTCCATACCTAAAGGTACTGTTTCCCTAAGTCCCAACCTGTCTGACGTGCACAGCTATTGGCGAAGAAAGAGCAAACTTTTCCCTTGCAGCTTTGCATTCGTTGGAATGATGAATAGTAGTCTCCGTAATTTTACTTTCCCTTTATCAGATCTCAATGATTCAATAACATTTCTAAAGAATACAATGTTAACCGATATGCCATTGGTGTTGGATTGGGAGATTGGTTCCAGAAATTGCACAAAAGTACAAAATTCCACTGATTATGCATGTCAACGGAATAGTAAATGCATTGATTCCAATACCGGTGTTGAAGGATACCGCTGCAGCTGCTGGGAAGGATACGAGGGTAACCCATATCTCAGTCCAGGATGCACTGGTTAGTAATTTTATCCTTACTTAACTATAAGAATTGTCTATTATGGTGTAGCAGTCTTAACAATTATTTTTGGTGATGCTTTATCCGAGGCTAGATATCGATGAATGCCAGTCTTTTCCATGTGTCTCAAATGGGATTTGCACCAATACTCAGGGTTCTTATAAATGTTCCTGCCCCGATGGTTATGTTGGTGATGGAAGGAAAGAAGGCAGAAGCTGTTTCAGGATGCCAGGGTCCCAAAACAAAGTGGCTATAGGTAATCTTTAGCAACATGAATTATGCAACATATACAAAATTATGTAACAAAGTTGGTTGACAAAATAACATCTATATCAATCATTTTAAAAACAGATTTTTAAATCATTTAAAATTAACGGTCTGAATTTTGCCAACACATTTTGTAACCCAACTTTGTACAAATAACTTTGTTGTTAGCAACATACTCTTGTTTTTCTTGGAAAATTTGCTACTGTGTCAGCTTTTTATGAGAGATGAGAAATTCTATCAATCAAGCAAAGTCCTTTAGAATCTATCCTATAGCCCAAGATTTTTGTTAATGTAAAGTAAAAATCATGAAAATTTTGATTTTACTGTCCCCTTGCACAATTATTATTTCTATGTCAGGGGCGGGTTTGGGCTCTGGAATGGGATTACTACTACTATTATCAACTTGCTTTTGGTTACACAAGTTTCAGAAGAAGAGAAAGATCAAAAAGCGCAAAGAAAAATTCTTTAAACGAAATGGGGGACTTCTGCTACAACAACAAATATCAACCAATGAATATATACTTGAGAAAACAAAACTTTTCACTTCTAAAGAATTAGAGAAAGCAACTGATCACTTCAATGAAAGTCGCATACTTGGCCAAGGAGGGCAAGGGACAGTTTTTAAAGGAATGTTGTCGGATGGAAAAATTGTAGCAATAAAGAAATCCAAATTGGTAGATGAAAACCAAGTGGAGCAGTTCATTAACGAGGTTGTCTTACTCTCACAAATCAATCATAGGAATGTAGTGAAGCTACTTGGATGTTGTTTAGAAACAGAAGTTCCTTTGCTAGTTTATGAATTCATCTCCAATGGAACCCTTTTCGATCATATCCATGATGATAGTCCTGACTTCCCATTTTCATGGAATATGCGCTTGAAAATTGCACTAGAAGTTGCAGGAGCACTTGCCCATCTTCACTATGCAACTTCTCTTCCAATCTATCATAGAGACATCAAGTCTGGTAACATACTCTTGGGTGAAAAGTATGTAGCCAAAATTGCAGACTTTGGAACATCAAGGTCAATTGCAGTGGATCAAACTCACCTGACAACCATAGTGAAAGGGACATTCGGGTATCTTGATCCTGAATACTTCCAATCCAGTCAATTTACAGAAAAAAGTGATGTTTATAGTTTTGGAGTTGTTCTTGTTGAGCTTTTAACTGGGAAAAGGCCTATTTCTTCTGATAGAACGGAAGAGGAAAGAAGTTTGGCAACACGATTTCTATCATGCATGGAAAGAAACAATCTCGAAACAATTCTTGACTCCCAGATTTTAAAGCAAGGTGGGAGGGAGGAGCTTATTGTGGTTGCTAAACTTGCACAAAGATGCTTAAATTTGAATGGAAAGAATAGGCCAACTATGAAATAAGTAGTCATGGAGTTAGAAGGTATTAGAATGTCCCAAACATTTTCGACTACAGTAGAAACTTCATTCCAAGGGGTAAAGATGCACGAGGCAAAATCAATATTACCCTCGAATGATGATTACACATGGACAAGTACGGTTGACAGCACCATCTCATCATCAGATGTCACTCCCTTAATGGTTAACACAATTTGATTTTGAATGCCATTTATCAGCATTTATGTGTTTCTGTTATGTTTGTCGATGAAAGAAATGTTAGATTTTGTCTTTTCCGTGTAGATTTTATGGCCTTTTACTGGTTTCTAAGTTATGGCGTATAGGTTATGCGTACATTGTTCTATACTATTTAAGAAATATATATAGTTTCATGTTTATCGTACGAGTTATCATAAAAAGTTTTTTTCTAAGACAATTGTAAATTGTGAAACTCATGAAAACTTTCGACACTTGTATCTATGCATCAGTAGTTGTCATCAAAACACTTTTGTGATGGATTTAATTGCTAGTGAATGCCTAAATCTACGTTGTAGCAGACGAGGTTTGATATTTTTTTGCATATATCTATATCCTTATCAAACCTGTTTATATCAACTGTACTATTTTCAAGCGAATACAACATCTTATCATTCTTGTATCAACTATCCAACTGCCATCCCTAGAAAAAGGTACGGTTGTATTTTAGTTTTTATTTTGAAAAACCCAAAGAAGGCATAGATCTCCGCCACATCAAAAATGTAGTTGAGTCAGAAAAGAAAATTTTGTGAATAAATAATAGTTAATATTAATATTATTTCATTATAATAGATGTATATTTAAACTCAATGCCTTCTAAATCTTACGATCCACCTCAAAGTTAAGATCTTGTAATTTGCTAAAGTTATCATTGACAACATTTGCCATTGTTCGACTATACCCGAAGTTTGATGAGTGGAATGTCAATTTGCTATGTATCCAATTGAACATACCCGCAGTTTGATGAAATGTGACGCCTAAAAATCATTATGAGTGCACAATATTAAAGAAAAAAAATGTATAAAACCTGATTCATAACATATTCAAGCGATCATATCAAACATATCGATTTGATGGATATGACAACCTCGAATTGTCGAATAACATAATGTTAGGTATTTGTCTTCTCAATAAATTAAGTTGGAGTTCTTTTCGTTTTTCATTTTTATATACAAAAGTACTATGAAAGAAACTGGCTAGCTAATGAGTTTGTTAACCTAATTTATGGTTTCCTCTGTGAGATTAAAGTAAAGCCTAAACTTATCCAGAAAATCTTGGCCATTTATAAGGTCAAATCAGTTGCTCTAAACTTGCAAGTAGTTGGACAGATTTAAATCTTCTTGATTGGTTCACATGTATATTGACTGAGTTTTTTCCTATTCATTTCATTATTTCCTTATATAAAGATATATTGTATGACTATTATACCAACACATCAAAATGATAATTTTAGTATAACATATTGTGTTAAACATTGGATCAAGATCGAATAGTTTAGACGACAAGTGTTCACCTCAAACAAGATTTTGTTCTCGCTTATATCCTTTTAATGTTAACTTTGATGTACTATTTTATCTTGTAGTATGCTAGACTGGAATATAACACATAGGATTATGTCACTTGTACATCTATTGTGTACACTCATGTTGACACTTGATGTATTGTCGATAAATAAATGGATGGAAATAGTTTTTTTTTACTGTCAAATGAGATAATGACACGTGGCAAGCAGGATGTAAATAAAGGTGTAAACAATGATATACTTCAAGTATGATTGTCTATTAAAAGAGATTTTAAATTAAGATGATTTAAGATATTTTTTTTCAAAACACTCTTCCATAAAAAAAAATAGAAGTCTTGTCAAACGGATCTCTATCATGTTCTAAAAATTAATAAAAAAAAAAAATACATAATTACATTGCAATCTTTTGATGGGTCAGTTAAACCCTAATAAATTGGGGTGATGGTTTTGTTGTATGACAACATCAAGCACTTGCAACAACTGCATTACCCCTAAAACCTGGCCCCATCGCCTTTACATTCTATGTTAGAAATTTTTTTTTTTTTTTTTTGGGTGAATGTTAAAGATGTATAGCAAAAGAATATTATTTTACAATTTCACTAATTTTTCTTTTTCAAATTTAGTATTTTTGCCTTCAGTTTTCCATAATTCTTATGGGGAATTCAATTTTATTAATTTTTTTGTGTTTCACTTTGTTACCCTCGATTCATAGTTACATCTTTTCAATAAAATGAAATAGTTTCTAATTATAATATTGTACAAACACATCAGCATTGAAAGACAAAGAAAAGAGCATTGCGATAGAACTAAAATGACACTTACGTAGACAAACTGTCGAGAAAAAATTACTTTTAAGTGCGATCAAATATCTTCTGTTTATTCTCCAATTGTTTTTCTCCTCATAAATCTCAAATGTTATTTTCTTTTAATAAAATCCCAAATGATAATTGAACGTTTAATTACTTCCAGTTTGTCAACAAAAAAATAAAAAATAAAAATTGAAAGAAAAAATAAAAAGGCCTTCAATGGAATAAATTAATAATACAAAGGAAAAGAACTGAACACCTGTGGGATTGTCTATATAAAACCTCTCAATTGCCATTTAAGAACTGAAAGTGAAAACGTGTGCAAATGGAGAATGGAAAGAGTCTGGGATCGTATAGTGACGGACTAGACGCCGCGTACCGGCCGCTGCCACCGCTCTACTTGGCTTTCATGGTCATTTGGTTCTTCTCTACATTTTCTTGGGCCTTCAATACCTATAATTATCGCCATCTTCAGGTCAATTATTTCTTTATTTTTCAAATTTAATTTAATTTAGTTTATTTCTAGCTGCTGATAATGTGTGAGAATATAGGATAAAAATGTTTGAAATAAAAAAAAAATCAGTTTAATGGGATTCAGCTAAATTGCTAAAGGTCCAATTTTTTCAGTTCCTTTTATTGATTTCTTGATTTTTTTTTTTATCGGGATTTATTATTTTGTTGTGTTTCTCGAATATTCTCTGTTTAGAGCATCCATAAATGATGTGTATGATTGATAATCAGTTTTTGTCTTTTTTTTTTTTTAATTATTCAATCTAGTGGGATTTTTTGCTTCTGATTAATATTTTATTGCTAATAATATTTGTCATTGTTGTTAATTTATTATTCCTCTGTGATTGTTCTTTATATGTACTAGAACAGACAAATAGATTGCAGTGGGCGCTTGCCTCTGTTCCATTGATTAAAGCCTTGCAACACGCTTTATCTTTCCTTTTCTGGTACGCGTTTATACTTGAAACTAACTTTGGTGCTAATATTGTACAAATTTTGTTACGATTGTTTAATATGCTGTTTATTTGTTCATGTTTTGCCTCAGGAATTCGTGTTTTTATACGCATGTATGCTCATTATGGATGTCTTTTGGAGCCTATGTTATTGGAGTGCTATTTCAGACAGTTACTTTTGTATCTTTCATGCTTATTTCTAATGGCTATTGCATCACCTGCGAACGCCTTTCAGTGTCTGAACGGCGAACCACAGCTGCTCTTGGGTGTATCTTTTACCTGACTCTAGTTGGTTACAGAGCTTCTATTCCTTACTTCTTTGTGAGTTTCCTCATTAGTTCAATTACATTTAGGGCAATAAAAGCGTTGTAGGTCACTTAAAACTTTTAGCTAAGTTTCATTTTATTTGCCGAATTTTTTACTTTCTGTTTGAGTTACATACCAAGTTGGATTCTGTTAGTAAAACTAAGGAATTATCCAACATGATGTACAGAATATACAGCTTGGGAATCTGCCACATAGGGAAACTCGTTAATTTTAATATCAAAAGCTAATTTGTGATGTAATTGAAACAGAGATGAAAGTTGGGTGATCAAGTTGAACTTAGTTGAAAGTTGAATGACTAATAATGTTTTAACCCCTTATTTTTATGTTCGAACTATGCATGATGGTGATAAAATGTTTAATTGGGCAGAAATACCACTTTATTCTTATCCTAATTTAACATTGAGTATTATGCTTTCGGTAAAACAGGTACTACTGCTGCTCAACTATTTTATATTTTTCTACATGATATTCTACCATGTATCTCAGAACTTAATAGTTTTGCGGGAACAGTTGAACTTTATAGAAGACGAGGATGTCCACGAGATGCATGATGCAGTTTATACAAAATACATCATGTTCAAGTAAGCATATTCACATTCTGTTGAAACATGTCGTCAAAGGTGCTGCTTAAAAGTAGAAATAGTTATTTATTTTATACTTTGACTTCAACAAGCCCTCAAAGGCTTAAGACGTGGAATTTTGATAAATGGATGGCATTGAGACTTGAACTTATGACATTTATCTTTGATACCTTTTTTAATCATCTTTCATGGAAGCTCTAGTTAAACGGAAGAAAAAAATTTTATTTAAAATTTCCATTGACAAATTTTTTCTCCTAAGTTCCTGTTAGGCGACTTGCTTTATCACTCATGATTTTCCATTAGTAGATTTGATTTCTGAAAAAGAAAAGATCTAATGAGAAAAAAATGCTGACCAGGGTTTCATTCTTTACATTTTCCAGGAAATTTCAAGGTGCAATGCACATTGTGGCCGTGGCAGAACTTGCGGTATGAACCATCTTTTGTTGACATATTCTTCATACAAAAATAGGAAATTCTAAAGATTTATCCATGCAGTAATTGAGCATTTTGCTGTCCAGATTTTCATAAACATGGATACATCATTGGAAAATTACTGGATTCGGATGTTGGTTCGAGAATGGGCACAATTTTGCATCTTTCTGTACATAGGGTATGTAAGAATTAATATGGGTTTTCCTGAACAAAATTCGTATTCTTCAACAATCTAACGTGATTGAACCCTATTTATGACAGATGGACTTTCAGGTCACAACAGTTGACACCTCGTTTCTCTGTTATGCCTACTTTGAAGTCTAAAGTAGAAATGATGGTGCCTCCAATTTACAGCATTGTAAGTGAAAAAGATTTAACCTTTGAGTACTTACATGTATTCCATTAATTATTCTTTTGCCTTGTATACATTTCAATAATCTTAGTGACATTAAGTTCTCTCATTTTTTTTTGTGCCAACTATTAGTCCTGAAAAAATGTCCCTAAAAACAGAGAAATTCTTGATATTACTTGAAATGAAGTAGTAATATACTTGTATCGTATTTTATCTATATATGTGTGTGTGTGGGAATGATCGTTACAGAGCTGGAGCTTCAGAAAGTGGAGGTTTCATTTACTAAATTCTTTCACTTGCTGAGACATTTAACCAAATCAACATCGTGGAGCGCTTGATTAGACACTTAGTTGTTAAATACTAATAATTTGCATTGAGTAATGCTTCTTTTATACATAGTTTGCAGGATTTTATAAAGTTAAATGAGCATGTCTGGCTGTGTTTAAAAGTAAATTAGAATAATTCTAAGTTACTTATTTTACCAAACTTGGTTTTCTAAGTTACTTTTTTCAGTAACAACTAAAACATGTGTTTGGTGCAGCTTAAAATCGAGACTAAATATGTGTCATTTTATTGCAGGAAATGGATGCAGAAACTTTTAAAGATTTAAGTAGTCATGAATGGCACATTGGTGTAGTAAGTGATTCTTATTCGATTTTTAACAAATCCCAAGTTGCAGTTTGTGTAGCCCTTGTATTTTCACTAACAAAAGTTCAATAATGTTATAGCCATCGTTGGTTGGTTCTTACTAAAATTTACTTTGGTTTCTTATAGCCAACGTTGCCCTGTAAAGGAAGCTTAACGGATTCAGTCCTAGTCGTAATTCAACACCCCCGTGATACAGGCCATCGACCAACTCTGACTAACTGAGTCCTCCTGTGAAGACTATTAAAACCCCTGGTGGCAATTCAGATTCACTCACAGACTGGCACGAATGAAGAAATAATTTCATTTGGCGTAAGATGGATCTTACTCGATTTTCAGCATAGAAATATGACTGCATTCTTTTGAGACGCGGGTTTATGATTTTCTTGTTAATAAACCTCAAAGAATGAATTTTAAGACAGAGAATGTTGAATTATACTTATTGGGTGGAAACCTGAAGCCCGTATGTACATTGAATTTTTACTAATGGAAATTGTACATTCTTCTTTAACTTTGTTGTCTTCTTTGCATCCTTAGTTTTACTTCCTAGACATAGGCATGCTGCATTCTGTCATTCTAGTTCTGTCCTCTTTTTTCCCCATTCATGATATTGGTTGATGATGGCGAAGACTTTTACCGTATATGTCCAAGTAGTTGAATAAGAAAATCGAGAACGTGCTAAACTTCTGTTGGAGTCGTCGAACTTGTGCACTCATCAGGAATTACCATCACATGAAGTATGAGATTAGATGTTTATTACAATTTTCTTTTTTTCTAATAAATAGCTTTCTCATCTTCGATTCGGTGCAATCAATCAACTAAACTCCATTTTCTTGTGAGTCACCTATCTTAAACTAGTGCAATTAGGTCGCTCAACATGATTTGTTTGCCAGCTACTTTGTCCACTGTCGTCAATTTAACTAGCTTAATATGTTAATACAAACGTTAAGATGACTGACTTGGCAAATTGTGATTATAATTATAGCTTATCTAAACATTAAAACTAAGGGTAGTAAAAATCGGATAATGATTGTAATTCAACTTGGCAAATTCCTCACAATAACGCTCGGCTTTGTTGGATAATGATTGTATATTTTGTTCAATTTAGGGTATATTTAGAATGGAAATCTTCTTAGGATGGTCAAATTGTTCTAAAAATTGAGGTTAATACAATCAAATAAAAGTTAAGGACCAAAAGGTTATTACCCTTAACATTGAGGACCACGCTACGATTTCTCCAAAGCAAGATGAACATTGGGCTAATGAAACGACGTAGCTCGTAGCTAATGCCCACGGGCAACAACTCCACGACGAATCCGAATCCCTAATTTCCCAATTTATTCAAACGATGCAGTATTTTCATGTGAGATCCATCTGTGTTACTATATATTAAAATGCGATATGGATTTACAGTTGATAGATTTCTGAAGTAGCAGTTCAAGAAAGTGACAACGAAAAAGAAAACAGTAATCAAAATCTGACAAATGAGTGCAGGTAAATGTTTTTCGGTTTATCTTGTTAGGGTTTATGTTATATTATCTTCTCTTCGCGTGAAATTTCATTTTTAACACAATAATTTTTCCTGTGCAAATGTAAAAAATCATCAGTTTGTTTATTAATGTCCATATATTCAATCCAATGTTATGATAGAAAGATTTTTCTTTTGTATGTTGTCTGAATCTTTATTATAATTTAAGATTATCAATGTCGAATTATTGGTTGTCTTGTTTGAATCTTAACATATTATGCTGGTATTCTCATAGTTGAAGTTTATTGTCAAGTTGATCGTGTGGAGATCCAATTTGAAAAATAAAGCAACTTTTCTGTGCAAATTAGCTTTAAAAATTCAGGTACAATGAGCCTGGAGCTCCTTTCTTCCTCCTTTTCCTTCATTTATTTGATTTGGACTCTCGGGTTCATCTCTCCATGGGCCATAAGTTTCATATAGTAGAAAGATTGTCTTAGCCTGCGGGTTTAGATTTACTCGATCAATATGCAAGTATAGAAGATTCTCTTCTTGTACATCTTTCTTGTTTGTGCGTTAAAATAATATTTCCTGCTGAATTTGAAGGGGGAGCATTTGGTGGAAATAGAGGATTGAGCCCAGTACCACCAGAAAAAGGAGTATTCCCTCTAGACCACATGCATCTCTGTGACCAGGTACGATAGCCATGAAAGTAGTGCTAGAAATGTTCTTGGTGGATGCAGGACGGGACCCATTGTTCACAGCAGTCTGGGGTGGGGTGGGAGCCAATTGAACTGTGAAGCATAAATGGTTGGGAGATCAGGCTCGTCATCTTTGGATTCAATTGCACCACAAAAGACTAGATGATTGACTTGTTTTTGACAAGATTTAGGATATTAGATTTGTGAATATATTATGGCAAGTTTGCTTAGTATTTTGTTGGTTGTTTCAGGAGAAGAAAGACTATATCAATTGTTTAAAATCTGCTGGCCATAAATCTGAAAATTGTAGACACTTGTCTAAAAAGTACCTTGAATGCCGTATGGAAAGGTAAGTTCCCTTCATTTTACTTAAATATTTTGGTGTTTTTTATTCCCTTCTGGTTTTATCCATAACTTAGTAACATATCTTACTTATGGTTTGTTTTTGTAATTATTCATTTTTAATGACATCTCGTTATTTTTGCTGCTGCTAAGCAATAATGTAACTTCACTTATTTGAGAAAATGATATAACCCTTTCAAGTTAGTGTTCTAAATCACAATGCGACTCATTCTTGCTGCCATATTAGGATTTTTCTGTCTTGTTGAATTCATACCACCGTTTAATTGTAAGAGCTGATTTAAGGTCTAAGGCAAGTTTTCGTGGGGGTGTTTGCAGGAACTTGATGGCAAAGCAAGACATGTCGGAACTTGGATTTGCAAGGGAAGCCAATGTAGAGGAAAGTAAAAATGAAGTACAGATAAATGAAGAAAGTTAGTATTGACTTCACACACTAGACATTTGCTGAATGATGACATAAAATTGGTTGTATTATTTTTGGATCAAATAACGATAGCCCAATTGTGCATGAGGTGTGTTTGTGTGTGAGAGTGCGGTAATTCATGTTTGGCTTCGCTTAAAAGTGAAAAAAACGAAGAAAGCCAAAACTGGCTTCATTTTGTGTTTCTTTAGGGCAATAGCGAGAGTGATACTGTCTAAAAAAGGTTGCTTCTACATATGAAGCAAAGCCAAACATGAATTGTGGAAAAAGTAATCATACCATGAAAATATTGCGAAATAAATAGAAGGTTGGAATAGATTGACATCATGTAGTTGGCCTTTGCCCACCCCTACCCTTTCCAATTTCCAGTGCCCCCTCTACATGGGATGACAAATTGGGGTTGGTGGGGGGGGGGGGGGGGTTGATATAATTCGAGATACTATATAATGATATAATTCGAGATACTATATAATGATATGCCAATAAATAATGCGCAAATTTTGGTTCAAGTACTCTCGGAATATGGAAACTCAATCTATCTCTATTGCTAGATACTCAATATTTTATATGCATGTCAATTAAATAGTGACTGAAAAAATTGAGTACTCCGCAGTCCGGGATTACTAGAAATTTTTCCAATAGGATAGACCCAAACAATTTGATATAGTTCCAAGTGTCACCTGACAGGTTTTTCCTGTTGATTCCACTGGTGGAGTGGACTGGTAGATTTGCAAAAGCAAGTCTTCAACTAAAAACAAAACAGTTTGTCCTCACGAGAGACACTTTCCTTTTCCCGTGTCCTCTCCTCTTTGATAAACATCAATTCTATTCCATTCTTTTCAAACAGGTGACCACAGTATATCAGTTCAAAACAGGAATCTCTCTTCTTAATTAGTACTTGTTTAACCATGGTTTGCCTACTGGGATTCTTGTTTCAGTGCAAGAATTCTTCTGTCGAATCTTATTTGATTTCGATCTTGATTGTCATTGGCATCATTGTGGCTCTCCGTCTGCTCTGTCATTGGATCCGGCGGCTGCTGAAAGATGATGAGTCCCATAGCGATCAGGGCTCGAGTGAAGGGGTTGAGATGGAGCCCCAAATTCCACGAGGCCTATTTTCACATGATTAGTGATATATATCATAACTAGAACATCCATTTTAAAGTGCAGAAAGACAGATATCAAGAATATTACCAGATGATCATGTTTATTTTTGCCTCATAGGTGAGCCCTTCTACCAAGTGATCAAAGAAAGTTCCACTTATTTCTTGTTTACTATTTGTCAAAAATTGTTGTAAGTTCTTCTTTCCAATAAAGAATTATTCTATGAAATCTCATGTTCTTTTATCATTTTTTTTGCACTGTAATTTACCGTATCATTCGTGCATTTTTTACTAACGACGAAGAAATTCGATTGGTGAGTTTTATAAATTAATGATTGTTTTCTTTACATAAAGTACTAAATCAGTCACTTCATGTCTACTTTGAACATTTCTATTGCTCAATATTATCGGCATCGGCCTCCGTTGGGCAAATTTATATATAATTTATAAAGAGGAATAGTAGTTGGTTGCCAAACGGATGCTAAGTGTTTGCAATCAAGCACTAACATAAAGTCACGTAATTATGAATCTGTTACATCTCGTTTTTGAGTTTTCTTTTTCTTACTTTCTTGCAAGAAAAAGAGAAAAGTGAATATGAAAAAGTGAATGAATATGCCAGGTAACAACGCCTCTCTTTAAGGTATAGTGCTGCACATAACAAGGATTCGACCACAAGTTGCAGTTGAGACTTGAATTTAAAACTTTTATGTACTATGACGACATCAGCTTAAGTTTTAGTAAGAAACTTTTAATTTATATTTATATCTTCAATAAGATTCGACAAATCTTGATCATACCCTCAAGGCAGCTCAAAATACTCGCGAGTATTCTAGGTGCAATCTCGAATTTGACTTGTGCTCCGAACTTGCCATACTTTAAGGACTCCATCGAGACTAACCGTGCAAACAGTGCAACCCTCCTCGGTATCATCCGATACGCGTTCAGGAAAGGCAGCCACGCACCTTATAGGTCCTCTATGACCTTGAAGCACACCAATGCAGGCATGTCGACCATCTTGTTCCCGAATCCAAATCCGGCTCGTCCCATCAGCCGAGCCACTCACAACATAATTAGCCACACTGGTTAAGCACATCATAGCATGAGTGTGCCCCGGAAGTGCACAGCCATATTGCAACTGGCCGGAGAACCGCCCTTTAAGCCAGTAATGCACGTAGCCGTCCGTGCAACCACCATATAGCACCCCGCCATCTACCGTTAGTGCTAAAGTTTTGACCGGAGAACTTTTTGCTGGCAAGGTCACGGTGAGGGAATGAAGATCCCCATTACAAAAGTTGCGCCGCCATATAACGGTTGCATCATCGGATGCGGTATAACGAACTCCATCGTCTGCTACCGCAATGTCATTGACAGGCTCACGGTGGCCTTGGATTGTCTCGATGCATTTGAAATCGGAGAGTCTCCAAACTTTTACGGTTCTATCAAGGGATGCTGAGTACAAAATGTCATATGATGATACATTGATTGCCAGTGATGATATTGGCCCCATATGTTTCATCTGTTTGATTAATACAATGTTGTAACAGTTTTTGCCAATTATTTTTCAGGCTTAAACGAAAATTTTGCATTTTCTAAACGTGTGACAGGTAAATAAATATTGTGTATCATAAATTGAATGCATTAATAAAGAACGACAGTTGGTACATGGTACTAATACATGCATCGTACCTATTATTTAGGATCCATTTCACATGGCCTTTGAAAAGTGAAAATAAGTTTTTGAGACCCCGAAAGCAACTTTTGGACCAGTTTGGTTAATTTTATGAAAATACTTCTTCTAATTAAAAGAGCTTCTAGATGAAGTTGATCTAATGTGACTTCCCCTAAAAGCACTTCTGAAATAGAAAGTGCTTTTAAAATTTGTTTTCAAACAAAAAATAAACTAGTTTCCCTTCAAAAGTTTTTCTACAGCAAACAAAAACAAAAGCATATTTATGTATAGGTAGACTATTCAATTATATTCATATAATTAGGTTGAAAAGCCACAATAAATGCAAATCTGGAATTAAAATTGCTCAAAAATTTCCTATACACATTCAATTTATCTTGTGTAATTTACTAAATATTGGGAAATAAATACAAGAATAAAGATTGACAGCTCAATGTGCTCATATTAATTGTTGTCTAACATTTAATTTTTTTAAAAAAAAAAGATGAACCGCATCCTTAGCGACCCCCACCTGCCCTGTCTTGGGCCTTGGTGAAGGAGGTAAATCGCGGGTTATACCTCCAAGGGTATAAGGTGGAAGACTGCTTGTACACTTATACTTTCTCAAGGGCCAAATCCATATTTCAAGATTCGAACCCTTGACGCGGCAGCCTTAAGCAAAGTTGGAGTTTTTCTACTTTCCCCTTTTACCACTTGGAGATGTGCCCTGGAGGCAACATTTAATTTTAAATTGGACTTTAGGACAAGTTAGGGTATAAACACACATTGAATTATATTGGACATTACTAAATTTCACTTAGTTAAAGTTGGTCGCTGAATTTAAGTGTTCATGATAGAAAAAGTGGCATGGCAATCTAGGCCGCCATATCATATTTTTTACTTTAGTCAAACTAATTGAACTTGGATCTAAATTGAGCAAATTGCAAAGTTTAGGGATTGTTCTCTTTGTAAACTTCAGTTTTGTGTTTTGAGTTTTGAATTCATTTTGAGTTTTGTGTTTTGAGTATCCATTTTGATATTGTTAAAAATATATTCTTTTTGGCATTTTTAAAAATTGTTTTGAAAACACTCAAAACGCATTTTGAAAATTTTGACTTGATTATAACTGAAAACACCCAAAACGACAAATTTGTCATTTTGAGTTTTCGTTGTAAATTTTTAACTTGTTTTCAAAAACGCATTTTCACTGTTTTAAAAAATCGAAAACAAAAAACGACTTGAAAATGATAAAGAGAACAGGCCCCTAACTTTTTGAAATAAAATGAACTTAATAATCTAGATGAAATTTTGCTAGAAGTTAAGTGAACCTCAATATTGTTAATTCGACATTTTATTTAAATTGATTTAAGCAAAATTAAAGAAATATTGTTCTTGTCTAGCTCATATCGATCTGGTCTAGTCGAGCACACCAACTCAACGAACAATTTTGTTATGTTTTGGGATGCCTCATAATTACTTGGCCCTATTAGTTGTATTGGGCCTGTGTTGTAACGTTTTCTTTGGCCCAAAATCGTTTCCTTTGGTCTTTGCAATCTGGCCTTACACTTGGCTAGATCATCATCGTTGATTGAGACCGTTTGATCTCCTGCTTTAAGTGTTTCTCGAAGCTTCATTTTCTTTGAGTCGGTTCAGTGACTTTGTGAGATATTCTCTCTGTGTGATTAGGGTTATCTCTTTCTCTCTGTCTTTTGAAAATCTGAGTGATTTTCTATGTAATTCTCTTAGTGATAAGGCAGTGATGTATATTCTATGAGATTGTGTATAATTTCTAAGTGATTCTTGAGGCGAGAGAAATATTGAAGAAATTTCTGATTTCTTCATACATTGTAATCTGTTCTTGGTGATTTTAGTAAAACTAGAGTTTAATCCATGTGTGTGGATGCTCAACGGGTGAGTAGGCCTAAGGCTGAACATCCGGACCCTTTTTGGGTGAAAAATCCTCTGTACTTTACTTAGTTTTTGTGCTCTTTGTGAACTCTGGGACCAACAAATTTCTAATTGCATGGTATTGTCACATTCTTCCATTATGCATCTGGTACAGCAAATGGACAAGTAGCTTTTAAGATCCCATTCTCATCCAATACCACATATTAAATTGTAGACGACTTTAGAGATGAGCATTTAAAGAGCCATAAATGCGAATTAAAACCATAATAAAAAATTACCATTTTGTCCTTGCCTCCGGCGATGTAGCTCCGGACACAACTTCCGGTGTTCGGTATCTTTGCTATGCGTACGTGTTTGATAATTCCGTCCCAACTCCAGAGCCAAACCCTTATTTTGCAATCAGCATAGGCTGCACAAATTCTATCATTTGACACTTCTAATGCAACTGCCATGCATGCTTTAGTTTTAAGCTGCCCACATTCGGCAAAATCCGGCAGCTTCCATATTCGAATGACGTTGCCTTGTGAGCCGGTGTACACAAGCCCATTGGATGATGCAATGGACAAGATTTGACCGTCGTTTTTAAGTACGGAAGAAATGCATTTGTAAGTTGTGTGAAGGTCGTGTAGTCTGGAGGGTGTGGTGGAGGAGAGGTGGTGGTGTGGTGGCGATGGAGGGGGAGAGAAGAGAGGCTTTAGACAGAGAGTGGCGGTGCTCAGCCGTGGGGGTATGGATGGGGGTTCTGTAAACGGTGGTTCTTTATTTGAAATACTTCTTAAGAATCCTCTTATTGCAAATGATGGTGCTGAGTTTAGAGTCTCTTGTGTTGATGATGCAATTTCCATCTCTCTTTCTCTCTTGTCTCTACTTTCTGAAAAAAGGATGAGTCGCATCCTTGATGGCCTCCACCTGCCCTGCCCTGGGTTTTGGTGAATGAGGTAAATCGCAGGTTATGCCTCCAAGGATACAGGGTGAAAGGCTGTTTGTACACTTGCACTTACCCAACGACTAAATCCATATTTCAGGATTTGAACCCTTGACGCGGCAGTCTCAAGCAAAGTTGGAGTTTTTTCACCTTCTCCCTTTATCACTTGGAGATGTACCCTGGGAGCATCCTGTCTCTACTTTCTGTGTTTGAAGGAAGATGGTTTGTATACAAGTTATTTTCAAGGTACCAGTGGGGAAGGTTTATTCTTGTGCACATTTAGTTGGAGAACAAGTCTAGGCTCCTTCTACTTACTATGTGTACGTGTGATGTGTGGATAAAATTAGATTCTAATCAGTTTATAAGCAATTATAAACTTCGACAAATAGTGAATGTTTGATCTTCATCCCAAAACAGTATCACACTTGGAGATTATGAATTTACGGTGCTACTGGCCTAAAAAAAACAGAGATATTAAGAAAGCAAGAAAAACATTGTTACCTTTAGTTAGACCTTTTTGACACCCTTGGAATGAACCAATGGACCATGGTCCATGTTAGCTCATGCCTCTTGATTGGTTTGGGGAGAGAGACCGTGGCATTATGGTGTGAAGTGTCCATTTAAAAGTCGAGGGTGTCAAAATACAATTTTCATCATATATTAATCACACTCGTTAACGAACTGAAAATTCAGTTATCAGAAGAAAACAACGAACAAGATGCTGGAGCACTGTCGACACGGGCGGCTGGTGCCCATCAGCGAGGCTGCGAAGAGACCAGAGACAAATCCAAAACCCGAAAGCATGCATTCATCTCAATGCAGGTCGTGACTGCCTGACCGGCACCAGTTACATCTGGCTCATTTTCATATTGGGACTTCTTGTCATCGTTATATCTTCTTTCTACGATTCTTTATCGCAATTTGGTCTACATACTTGTCTGCTCATATCGCATTTCGCAGTCGCGTTTCTTTGGATTTGATGGACGAGAATCTGATTTCGGATCATTTACTTTACACAGCATTCCTTGTGTTTTTCATTTGTTAGTACAATTAAGGTTGACCAGACAAGATAAAAAAAAAACACTGGACCGAGATGAAATTAAGGAGAATAAGATATCAGATTCATCTCTATTTCAGAACTATAAGGAACTCATTACAGAGATTACACTCTCATCTTAAACTGAACTTCCATAGAACTCTTAATCCTAGTAAAACAAGAGTTGGGGTTATTTCTACCAGCCCAAGTGGAATTTGGCAATTAAGTGAATTAACAAGCATGAGACACAGAAGTGCAATCAAACAAGTGCTCCATTTACACGTCAATTCGAGTAGAGAATTATATATTCAGAACATATACTACTAGCCAAAACTTTGGACTTCCCACTTATATTTCTGCGCGGAAGCAAGTACTTCCAATAAGACGCACTACACATCTACTAAATTCAGATAAATGATACATAAAACCTTTCGGGGCTTTCATGATTTCTTCGAACTGATACTTCATGCCTAGGTTCGGCTCTTGCACTTCTGCATAGCCCTTGGAGCTGCAAACAACATCAATTTGTTCGTTTAAGCTGCTGCCCGTGAGGTTATACGTAATTCAATACCTTTCAACCATTGGTGAATGTGGCTAAGGTGCATTAGTCTACCAATACAGGATATTTAATTATGCTTTAAAGAAATGCAGATTATGTTCAAGCAAGTCTGTCGCCAAGAAAAAGTATAGGCATCACCGAGACAGATTATAGGTTGTAAGCCATACCTAGACCGGTTGCATCTGAGCTTTTCATGATCCTTAATCTCTTGCAAGAATCCGTGAACATCCTAAAAGCAAAGACAAAACTTGTAAATTCTTACTGCTTAAGATATAACATTACGAAACAGCTAATTGTTTCCAGTATGAGTCAAATTATATGAATCCTGTTTCAACACTGTTCGGTTGTTGCCAGAGTTTGATGACCAAATGAAATAGAATCTTCAAATTCGTGCAGAAAATGTAGAATAAGTTATATGGAAGTAGGACTTACTCCCATGGAACATCACCAACGAGCATCCAGTCACCATCCTTGTCTTCATAAGTCAGAACGTATTCAGAGCCATGGAAAAGATCCTTTAAGCAATTCTCTCTAAGATGCTCTTGCCCGGGAAGTCCATGAGACGCATATTGCCCTGGATTACAATCATGCAAGAAAAGGAACTTTCAATGAGATTATTAAATTCTGTGGAATCTTACTAAATTAAACAAATTTTAAGATAAATAACATTTTAAGATCAAGGTTGGAACAAGTTACTCAATTTAAGAATTGCATAACTTTCATAATAAGTAACTTTTTTTAATTAAATTTAGAAAAGAATAATTTATACAACGTGCTTGAAAACAAAAATTTACTTAAAAGTAACTTTTAAGCTTAGCCAAACATGATAATGCCATGAAAACAGATCTGATTTAGATAAGAAATTTTGGTGCATAGCCCTACCTAAAAACAGATTTCATGAAAATCACTTATGCATCATATGCATGTATTTATGTTCACGCGCATACAAACATGTGTTTTGAGAAGCCAGAGAGGAAGAGTACCAATAGTAAAGCAACTAAACATTTTCTCGAGAGCAGAAGAAAGCTCTTTGTAGCTGCAATAGGTTTTAAGGTCGATCTTCCTCAAATACGGAGCACCATCCATGCTAACCTTCACATAAAGGCAGCCTACTCCCGATTTTCCCTCAACATCATTGTTTTTAGATAAATTAGTGGCTAGGGTGTTCTTTCGGAAAGATCGAACTGGTGGCCATCCCACCAATTGTGCCCTGTTGAGAAACATAAGATTTGTCAGTTTAAAGATATTATCAAGATAAACAGGAGACAAGAAAATTTCTCGAACTTCCAAAAGATAATGGCTTTGCTAAACGGCGTGAAGAACGAATTAGGTGCTACAAGTACCTGATTCTTGAATTTAACTGTAAACAATATAGATATAATTAAAAGAAAAACAAAGCTAATATAGTTTAAGTTCAAGAAAATACTATTTTCAATAGAGAATTGCAGATTGACAGCCAAAATTTTCTAAAGCCCCAAAAAACAATTAAACTTTATCACAACCAAACATTTCTGTTTAAGCAGTAATCCCTCTTTACATGAGCAATGATAAAGAAAACAAGCAAGCACTTATAGTGGTTCACTCTCGAGGTGAGAACTAAGACCATTTTGTTGCTGTAACTATCCTAAAATCTTCTATGCAACAGAGTGATGTTACGGCTATAAGTGGTGAAGGAGATATGTGTACAATACGATTAAGCTCTAAACAGTCGAGCATCAAACGAGTAGTAAAAGAAATATAAACAAATTGTGATAGAATATAGACAAAGATAGGAAGTACAAAGATTACTATCAAGAAAAAGAGGGGCCAAACTCACTTTGAAGCAGGAGCCGCACTATTATTTTCATTCTTTTTCTCTTCCAAAGGCTTTCCAGGATTAGGGTTTTCAATTTCTTTTCCAGAAGGTCCAGCTAAAGAACATTGTAAAGTATTAGTATTTTCGGAACCACCATTTCCCAAATCAACTTCAGATCCACTATTTAAAGAAAACCCCCATTTTCCAGATCCCTCAATGGCATCAGAAAAAACCCTTTTAGCACCTGAAACCACGTTCTTCAAAGGGAATTGTGAAAACCCATTATTGCTCTCATCCTTCAAATCTTTCCCAAAAAGAGAAATCCCAGTTCCAGCCTTTATTTCAAGAAAATCAGAACCGGGTAACCCCAGTCTCAGCTCAGTTTCTTTAAGGTTCAAAACGCTGTTTTTCTCACTTTCTGTAGAAACAGTGGAGGAAGAAGAAGAATTTTCCATCGAAGAAGGCTCTGTTAAACCTATATAATCTTGTTTTTTAGGCAAAGACATCAAATTTCACCAAAAACAGAAAGCTCAAATGAACACTTAAAAGAAAAATCAAGAAAATTGTTGAATGATGCTTGCAAATACAGAGAACGGGAATTTTTTTCCCTGCTTCGGTATCCCTTCAAAATGGAGCTGGCGCTGCTTTTTGTTGATGCAGAGAGGAAGCTTCTTTGGCCTTTTCTGTAGCCTTTTGCTTTTGTTTAATGGATTTAACTATTCATTTAATAATGTTGCTACCAAAAAAGCAAGATAATTTTTGGAATATTATACGCAACATTTATTCCATTTGCTTTCTTCAAAACAGTAAAATATAAGCATCGGTAGAATCCATTCTTTTTCAAATTCAGCGAAATTGCTGAAAATGTCCATAATAGTGAAACTTTCTTCTATAACAAAACAAAAATATCAAAAGTTTAATTCTTATTTTATTCATTGTTACTTTGATAATTTGTAATACATTAGTCTTATGAATACTGAATTAGAGATAGCAACGAGACGAGTTGAGGTCGGAGCAACCTCCCTCGTCCCTCACCCCGCCGAATAATTTCTCGTTCTTTACTCACCATGTTACCCATTTAAGGAATGGCGGAATCCTTGCCCCGATTACTATCCAATTTTTTTTAAAAAAAATTATAATTCATTTGATTGTATCAATTCATTAAAGTGAGACAATAATATATTTTTTAATTTTTAAAAGTTAAATTATTCAAATATAGCTGGTAAATTAAGACTATTATTGTTTGATATATTTTTTAGATAATCTTAGTTGCCATTTTTTATTAGAACTAATGATATATCGTAATATTTATTTATTTTTAAAAGTTAAATTATTCAAATAAATTTGGTAAACTAAGGCTTTTATTATTTGTTATATTTCTTAGTTAATCTTAGTTGCCATTTTTTATTAGAACTAATGAAATTTCGTAAAATTTTCTATTTAAAATATTGAATTCTAAAAAAAAAAAGTTAAAAGGGACAGGGCGGGTACTCGCTACTCGTACCCGTCCTGGGATGAAGTTACTTGTCCCGTCCCCGACCCGAATACCGGATTAAGCAAGTAATTCTCGTCCCATTCGAGGTGGGGCCAGCAGATATTGGGTTTGTTGGATTTTTTTGACATATTTGTACTGAATAGCTTGTCATTTAACTACGTAACTTTTGGTACTTAGGACTCATTTGATATGATTTTTGAATAGTACAAAGTTATTTTTTATATTAATAAATTATTTTTGAATATATTTGAATAGTTTTCTAAAAAGTATTAATAGCATAAAACCCTTTTACAAGTGTTTACATTACTCCCTACCTATTGAAAATCGTAGAAACCCTCATATTTGAAATATTTTGTATGAAAAACCCTATACTACAAAATTTCTTTTAAAAAACAGTGAAAATGTCAAAATTAAAAAATAATAATTTTAATTTTAATATCTAAATTTTTTATACTTTTACAAATTATACCGAAATTTTTTTATATACCACCCATAATTACAGACTTTTAAAACTTTGTTTTCTACCCCACCCCACTTCATCTCATTCCCTAAAACTTTATTATTTTATTTAATCCCTTCTAAAATCCTTCTAAATTCCTCACCCCAAATTCATCATCTTTCTTCTCATTCCAAATAGAGATCTTTGGGGTGAGAGATTTAGGAATCAAGAAAAGTGTTTTTGACTACCAATTTGAAATTTTTTGCAGAGATATTATTTAACCCGTGCGTTTTTATTTTTTCTATTGGTATGTACACTAGACATCAAAATATTTATAATGTATATCTTTTTGTCTTTATTTTCAGTTTATTCTGTAGAAGTTTAGTTAAAATTTAATCTAGAAAATAAATGGGTGACTGTTAGTATTCTTTCTCTCACACCACTTTCATGTATACGTTCATTCACTGTGTATGTGTTCTAAATTTATTTTAATTTAAATATAAAATAGTTAAATTTCATTTATTTGAGCGCATATGAATATTGTCTCTATTAAATTCTGTATATGTGTTTATTGATTGTGATTTTTCATTGTTAGTGAGAAGAGGAAATGATGAATTTGGGTTGGGCGATTTTGGAAGATTTTGGAAAGGATTAAATAAAATAGTAAAGTTTTAGGAAAGAAGATGAAGTGAGGTAGGGTGGAAAATAAAGTTTTAAAAGTTTGGTATTGTGGGTGGTACATAAAAAAAATTTGGGTATAATTTGTAAAAGAATAAAAAGTTTAGATATTAAGAGCTTGTTTGTCTCCCATTATTGGGAGAAAATTAGGGTAATTAATAGTATTTTTTGGAGAATGTGTAGTTGAAAATTAAAGTAACTTTATTGGTTTGTGTGTAGAATATTTTATTGGGTGAATGTGTGGTGGAGAAATTTACTGTAGCAAATAATTTTTTGGATTAATGGTAGACAAACAGTGGCTAAAATTGTAATTATTACTTTTTAACTTTGATATTTTCATTGTTTTTAACGAAAAATCTGACTGTACAAGAGTTTTTCACACAAAAGGTTTCAAATAGAGTGTTTTCTGCGATTTCCAATAGATAGTGGTACAACGTAAATGGAAACGTTTTTATGAGGTTTTCTGCTATTAATCATTCTAAAAATGTTAAAAATTCGATCTAGGGTCTGAAACAAATCATCTCTTGAATAGGAAAGATGGGACGTTAAATGAAATCAAACTTTTGTTTCACTCTTGAGGGATTTTTTCTTATTTCTTTTCCAATTAATACAGTATATTGTGATATTGATATGCTGCTGTACCAAACAATTTTTCTTTTGTTCTAGCTGTTTTAGTAGAAGAAATATTAGAAAAAATGAAATAAATGTGTCCCAACATGAAAAGAAAAAGTTGCTTTTAACAGGGTCTCTTGTCACCTTTTCCAATCCGGCAAAAGTGCTAAACCCACCGACAACTCAATCAGAATCATCGGCAGATGCCTTTAATCGTTATTCTTAATTCTTATCCTCCATGAATTAATTTTAATGAAAATGTCAGGCTAAAATGTTAGCAAATGGAATCAAAATGTAACCGCACGGAGTCGTTTCGATGGAGATAGCAGAGAGTAAAGGCGCGCGATTAACTGCAGAGAGAGAGCGATTAATCGAGCCGATAAAAACACGGTAAAAGCAGAAGAAACAAAAGAAATTCTCTGTAAATCTGCCAAATTTGAAAGCTAGCTGCTCCCAAGAATTTCTTGGATTTCACCAACAAAACATAAATTTGCAAAATCATGAGGCATAATCAATAGCACGATTTGGTTTCCTCACAAGTTGCTTTCTCCATGACTAAATCATGACTTGACCTTGATTTGGTATTGCAAATGGATACGCTTCATCCTACGATACACATTCATATGACAGTCAAATAAAAATAATTTAAGCGGGAAGTTATGCAAGGTCATCATTCCATTTTTTTATTGTCTATTCTATATGAGTCCCTATGAGATGATGAGATCATACTTTTGGACGTCTTGCCTGAAATGTAGTTGTTCGAGACAAAGCGTCACCTTACGACTTGACCTTGATTTGGTATTGTAGACTGTTACGTTTTGACCTACGAAGTAGATCATGTGACAGTCGGCTAAGCAAAAGTTAAACAACTGACCAAGCAATGTCATTCTTCCATTTCTAAATCACATCTTCCACATATACCCTCTAAGATCGTTGAGATCGTGTCTTTAGAAGTCTTGCTCGAAGCGTGATTGTCCGAAATGAGATGTCAACTCTCTAATGCAGATAGTACAATTGTAAATTTTTTATACTTTAATGCTTGAGTGATCAAGACTTTGTTCATATCATAATTTATGATAGGATTTAATTCATATTTGACACGAGATGTTTGAGTCGTACATCTAAAGGGCTGTGGGACTCGAACCTTGGTGGAACGGTTTGCTGTCAGCAATCACAATTAAGTGAAAAGCGTGTTTTCTGGCTATAACGTTTTATCTCATTTCCTTACCAAGATGGTGACACGTGGAATGATCTGGACTGTTGGCTGATCTTTTGGTTGACTCTTAAACTTACTCAGAACGTTTTCTTTTGGATCATTCGAGAAACGCTCCCTTTGGTCTGCCTTGTGAGAGAAATACTTAGGGTTTCTTCTTCTGGCTTTATTAGCTCAAATATCTGATTTGAGGCTGTAATCGAGAGAGTTTTGACTCTCTGATTGTGATATTCTGTGTGAATATCTGTGGGAACTAAGGTTCTATTTGTGTTGTGTATTGATCGAGTTACTGTGGAGTTTCTTGAGTGATCTGTGATAGATCTGTTCATGTACTTGAGAGATAAGTGTTCTATCTTCATTCTTTGTACTGTTTGAACGATTTGTAACCTTTCGTTGCCAATTTGGGGTTATTTAGTGCAACTGAGCATAATCCAACTTGTTGGATGCTCAACGAGAGATGTAGGCGTTGGAAGTGGTCGCCGAACCTCCGGGGCTTAGGCCAAAACAATTCTTGTGTTGATTCTTTAATTTTCTGCACTTTATATTTTCAATTCTATAGTCTAATATCGTGTGTCCTGACCTTACAAGAGCAAATCTCATAAACCAAAGGACAGAGACACCATATCCAATTATAAAAATTACAGATATACTCCTAAAAAATTATTTTGAATAACATATTCCTTTACACTATTTTAAGGTATTTTTTTAAGGATAAAAAGTTGTCTAATAAGATAAGGCCCCATTTAATTGTATCGAATTTCATGGAAAATGTCACATCTAAAAAAATGAATTCATTTCTACCTTTGTCTATCAATCGAGCTTGAAAATTTACTGTTAAAGTAAAACCCTAAAAATCGTAAACTTCGCTACGAAAGCTTGCACAAACGTAGAACAATCCTATCCTAGTTAAGAAAAGACCGTAGTCCAACTTCTGAAAATTGTCTCATGTACTCTTTCTACAGTTTTCTCTTTTTATCTCTTTGAGCTTGTTTGGGAGAGATTTTTGGGGAAGAATTGA